GGGGGTCTCCTGGTAGTCGTCCAAAAAACGGAGGAATTCGATATTAACAGGTATATTTAGACACAATAGTTTAGAAAAGGATAGTATGTTATGTTTTATTATTGTACTGCAGCACTTCCTCTGATTACAAAACTACTGCAATGTTGTGTCAAAGTCTATTTTTATAATTGAATTCATCCACCACACGATTACACACTTTTTATCCAGACAGAATCTGCTTCAATTGTAAAATGCAGAATTCGGAAAAAGTTATATGAAAAAAAACGGAATTTGGGAAATATATAATGGATTTCATAGGGCCCTAAGTAGGACGGTTTGTCACGGTCATTTGGCTAAAATGGCGATTGTTGTTGGTGGTTATGGTGACAACACACATCAGTGGGGTCTTAAAATGTGTTACTAGTCACAGAACCGAATCAAAAAATGATTTCTCGCCTCATATGAGGTTCCAATAGGACATCATTTAAGTAATGGAAGTCTGTGGTCTAAACAGATTTTTTTTTTTATCCTAGATAATTGTGCACTCCTCCTCTATGTTCCATATAACACAGAATTCCCCTGGTTTTGACACCGTCACACCCCCCCCCCCCCCCCAAGGAACCAGCTCAGTCAGCTCTGATTCTCAGGTTTTAAACTCCAGAACAGCATAAGTGAAAGAAATGATGTGGTCATCGTGTCCAAGTTGAGGCAGACTTCGTGGCTGGAAGTTGTCCAGCTAAAGGGTTAATGGGAGACTGGAGCTGAGTCTGCTAGCTACCTCTGTAGGCCCCCTATTGTATTCCCTGCAGCACCTCCCATTCCACTTGACTGAGTGAGTACAGACACACTCGCACTGTGGCAACACACACACACACACACACACTGATACAGCAACAAACTCTCTGACAGTAGGATCCACACAAGCAGACACAAAAAGACAGGATGATAGACGCGTACCCCAGCCTTTCTCACACACACACACACACACACACACACACACACACACACACACTTCCTCTTTTTTTTTTCTCAGCACCCCCCCTCATCGCTGCCCGCTGTCTCTCATCATCTGTTCTTTCCCTCTAAAAACCCATGGACATATGGACCCCTGAAACCTGCAGTTTCTCTCTGCAAACACACACACACCCTTTCCCACCCATTGGTGTGGGCCAACAAGTCTATTGGATTTGAATGATTAGTGGACCAGCTTCTCCATGACTCATTAGTGGCCGTCGTTTTTCTGTTGTGTATTTAATCCTCTCCTTCTGCCTCCACCCCTTCATCGTTTCTCCTCGCTTGCCAGCCTTTGTGAGAAACCAGGGCGGACATCTGCCTCCGTGCCTCCCTCTCCTTCATCCCTCTCCAGCCAGACCACCGTGGCAGCGCGCGTCCAGCTATCGAAAGGGAAGACTTTGTTCTTGCGTGCACATTTTTGTGTGTGCGTGTGTGTGTGAGTAGCCGGTTAGTAGTAGTATTAGTAGTGCATCATTGTATTGTTGGGCCCAATCCTTGGCCCGACATTAACTGTTTGAGTTAGTGGGGGGATAGACATCTTGCTGCAGTGGCAAGTTAAATATCAAATCACATGTAACAATTGGATTAATATTGTTAATAAATATACTTAAAATATTAGTGAAATAGATGTTTTTTTTGAGAAATGAAAGGGCATCCCGGGCATGCTTTCAAGTATTTGTGGGCAGAAAATGATTTTGGCTAAAAAGAGGACATCACCAAACCACCGTGTCGGGTGGCGTATCATAACGCGTAACAGACGAAAATACAAATTGAGCAACGCAACTTTATTTTGTAGCCTGGTTATGGAGAATTAAGGTGACCTCCCAGCTAAACCCCCCCCCCGAGGAAGAGAAGTGAGCGACAAATAGACTATTAGTCTATATGTTAATATTATATATATTATGTAGTGCTGGGCAACGATTAAAATATTTAATCGCAATTAATCGCATGGATTTTTTGCGATTAATTGCATTGTTATGCGCAAAGTTCAATAATGAATTCAAAAGTAGTGTATTGCGCACTTTTATCTTGAAAGTACTGCTATATGAACAAAAGGGCAACAACATTTGATTTGCAAACACTTGAAACAAATAAGGTTATTTTTAACAGCAGTATTCCCTTTACACAGTAGCAGTTATACAGTTATAATGATTCTGATAATAAATATTCAGCCGGTGTTCACAACTTTATCTTCATGTGTGTAAGAGATGCAATTTAAATATACACCTTGAAAACTGCAAACATATCTACTTCTTTTTTTAATGTTTGTTAAATTCTCAGTAGCGATAACTAAATGATGCTTATGATATATATTACAAACAAAAACACTTTAAAAACTCGACAATATGTATTTTAATATTGTCACTGTTGTAAATTGTTTGATTGCATGATTTACTTTTATTGTGAAGAGCATGAAAACGGAAGTGCTTTTACTTTGAAGAGACAAGAAGTAGAATGGTACTTGTTCTTGACGCTAACAATGTTGATACGTAGAAAACCACATGTCGGGTGCAAGAGCGTGTTTTGTTCACTGTAACACTGCAGTTCAGACAGTAAAGTGTTCCGTTCAAACAAGACGTGTCTTGGTCCTCTCTAGAAGCTCCACTTCACAACAGTCACGTTTGATCCTGTAATGAGATGCTCGCGCGCGCGCGTTTATTTGTGAGACAAGAGTGAACGACGGTGACGGAGTGTAGGAGGGGTTCTGGACCCGGGGGGGGAGAAGGAAGTGACGCCACACGAACACAGCTATTCACTGCTTGCTGCCTGGTTCTTGTGTTAAAAATGTCGCTTAATAATAAATAAATAAAAAACTGCGTTAACGCGCGATAATATAATTGTCGGCGTTAATTAATTAATGCGTTAACGTGATAATAACGCGTTAACTTGCCCAGCAGTAATATTATGTTAATGTTTTGTAATAATTTGACTGCAGACTAAATGTCTTAAGCCAAGCTAGCGGCCCTAAAGAGTTCGATGGAACAAACAACTTAGTGACTATTTGCTTGGAGCCTTCACAATAGTGCAGACAATCATTTCAAAAAAATGGTGCAGAGAATAATAAAGTCAGCAAAAGTCATGGAAATCTGCAGATTACATTGTAAGAAGGTTGAATGGAGGTTGGTGGTAACAAAAAATTGAATAAAAGTCCTGAGGTATCTAACCACAGCTTGGACTACTAACCTGTTGCATTTTCTCCAGATCCAGACTGGGCCTCCCCGGCTCCCCGCCGTAACTGTGCCGATACTTCCTGTAAGGTGCTGACTGGTCAAAGTGGGTCAAAATGATGGGCCGAGCCTGCAGCTGAAAGCGCATGGGGGGTGGCTTGAGGCTACGCGGTGGACTGGAGCTGAAGAGTACGGGGCTCGGGGAGGCGGCCAGGCAGGCGCCCGGCTCCGCTAGTGGCCTGGCGGAGGCGGCGGGTGACCCGCAGCCGCAGAGGTCCCGCACCTCCTCGTCGCTGGAGGCGCTGCTGTGGTGGTCACCGTGGCGCTGGGGAAGCGCCGACACCCACTTCCTGTTGTCGCCGCGGCTGATCCGCTCGAGCTCCTCCTCTGAGGAGTGGCGATCCAGATTGGCATCTAAGAGGAGGCGGAGGCGTCGTAACCGGGCTGGAGAGAGGGGGCCCTGGTTGTGCTGCTGGCTGGTTGCCAAGGGTGTGAGGGCACAGTTTCTCCGTCTCTCTGGAGGAGTTGACGAACAGGAAAATGTCAAAAGAGAAGGTGGAGACGTGGTTGCAAAAAATGCAAATGCCATATTATCTGTTGACTTGAAACATCTGATTATAATGTGTAAGAATCAATAAGCGATGGGGAGGGTCATCGGCTCTTTACAACGAAAATGATTTGGTTGGCGCCTACCTCTGTCAATCTGTGCAAGCTCCTGGTTCTCCCCCTCTGAGTCGTCACTCTCCCCTCCCTCTCCACAGCCATGGTAAGAAATCTGAAATAAATAAAGGATTGCGCTCATTCTGTAGGTCAAATATGCCATATGGTAACGCCTCAAAGATGGAACCCTTGTGGTGAGAGTTCATTCAGAAAAAATCTTTTCTCTTCAGTTCAAATTTGAACTGAAGAGAAAAGATTCTCTTCAATCCTTCAACTGTGAAGGATTTTGAATTTCAGCATCTAACAAACAACGTCAAAATAGTTAAAGAGTAAAACCTTAACCACTGCAATGATTTAATACAAAATAAGGCAAACCAAATCCTAATTCGGAGTTCTGTATCATTTTGCAATTTCCCACTAACCAGCAACACAGACATAACCTATGATGGGCTTCTATATGACAACATTGTCTGCATTGTGGTCAGATCTTTTCTCAAACCAGTTGTTGCGTGGTACTTGCTCTACAGTTGTACTACACACTGTATGGTTGAGTCGCGGTTCTGTCTCAGTCCAGGCTACTTTCTTTCCCCCACAACATGAGCCAGCGTGTCTCTTTAAAATCAAGTTCTACACCAGAAGCAACAATACAGATATCCTGCAGACCGCAGAGCTAAGAGTTAAGTAATTACCACTCCGAGGCCTCGCTGAGCAGCTGCCATCTGTGCTTGTGCACGTGTGTGTGCCTGTGCTTACACACATGCATCCACACAAACATAGTGTCATCCCTTCTACTCTCTGATACACACACACACACACACACACACACACGCTCACTTCCTTTCTTCCTGAAAGAGGGAAAAGGGAGAAAAAGAGCCAGGGCCATAGAGCCCAATAAGGGAAGACTGTGTTCATGTTAAGTGTGACTTTCAGTGTATAATTTCACAGATCAAAAGGCTACATCACATAAAATACATTACTGTGTATTAAAAATGGAAAAACATTTCCTGTCACCACAAACTCCACTTTACTCAGATATGTAGTTTCCTAAAATTCCTACAAAATGGATGCATTTTTCCCATCATAAATATGTAGTTTAATGTAGATAGCTAGCATAGAATGTAGGATTTATGATATGTAAATAGACATGACTTCTCCCATCAGAATAGATACCAAAGAAGGTTAAGCAAAAGTAAAACACTCCAAAAGGTCCCAGTTCCCATACAGTCTTGTGGTCCAGTACACATAGTACTGTTTTATAAATGTTTAAGGTATCAAATAGCACAGTAAGTATATACATGTAGCCTAAATCTTCAGGGTAAGATGTTAAAGATATTTGGATAAGGCCTGAGTGGAGCCTTCTTGCTTTTTGAGGGTACAAGAGCTGTGGGACAGATTCTCAATGAACAGTTCCAGAGCCAGCGTTGAAGTCACACACGCAAAACAAACGTTGGCTCTCGAGGAGTCTCGAGCTAGCGTCACTTCATGAAATCCGTCGGAAAATTACACCGAAGAATAACTGTGGGAAGGAAATGTATTTTGGCAAGCGGCTGGCTCGGGGCTTCAGCTACACCGTGCACTCCAGTGAATCACCGTTTGGCAGCATCCATGGAGCGGCTGAAATCCTGTTCAAAGTTATTGCTGCGGGACACTAAGAATGAAGTGACGCAGGTGGCTCAAAAATTTCATGTCACGTTCACGAGTTTAGTCTGAGACATTTTCCCTCCATGTTTTACCTTTTAAATGCTAGAATAAGCAGCTTTGATTTCTGTGCTTCGTTTGACCTGTGGAGTCTGAAGTCTCTCCACAGAGCAATCATTGTCTGTGCAACTGGAGGCAGACATAAGCTGACAGTAACGAGTGGGCCTTCCTCTCCCCTTAGGGACCGTCTCAGTGGTTGTTGATGGATCAGAGAACAGAAATGTAGCACCCATGTCCCTCACTTGTACGGGACTTTTATTGAGTTTCAAGCTCTGTCACAATATGACCTAATCACCGTGTGTCAGTTATAGGCCTGCACATTGAACCGCGACACACAACTTGCAGTGGCTTCCTTACTACACCGGCACACAGATACACTATTATCACTGTGACACTAACCACCACTTGGATAGCTACTATACAATCTGACAAATGGCTGCTTACGCAAAGCAGGTCGGTGTCAAGTAACGGAACAAAAAACATTAAACCATGCAAATCTCACATGGGAGTGGACCGCAAAGACTGGGCACATGAACAAGTATTTGACCATCTCTCACTCGCAACCATAGACTGTATATATAAGAAGTGGACATAGTCGTTGTGTTGCCACTCATTGGTTTGTGGACTGCCGTTTTGAAGCCTCGCAGTCTTGGATTACGGTCGTCGCCATCTTGGATTTTTGCAACCAGTGAACGGAGGAGACTATAATTGGAATGCGGAGGAGTGACGTAGAGACGCTGTATACGGCTCTGGTAGCGGTAATCATTAGGTAGCCTATTTGACTCTAAATGGACCATAATTTACTAAATGAACATCATGCTGTATTTAAGAAGACTTGAAACTAGAGATTGAGAATATAAACTCATGTTTACAATGTTTACTGAGGTAATAAATCAAGAGAGAGGTTTTCTCATAGACTTCTATACAATCAAACTTATTTTTGCAACCAGAGGAGTCGCCCTCTGATGGCCATTTGAAAGAATACAAATTCAAGACACTTCCACATTGGCTTCACTCTTCAGAACCGGAGGTTGCCGCCTGCTCCCAATACTGTTTAAGACTCTTTGGAGTTATTTTCACAGTGAAAACTTGGGTAGGGTCCTAACATTTGATTCCTCATCATCCGATTTCAGAATGTGAGGAATTGTTCTTACGAATAGCATCTTTAGTGCAATGTGAAAAACTCTGCATGTGTTTACTGAACTCTGAGTTTATTGTTAGACAGTGCGCTACCAAAAGAAAAGGAATGTCACCATTACATTAGCGACTGTATCACCATCATTCTAGCACCAAAATATGGTGTAAAGGGATGTTTCAAAATACATAAAATACACTATTATTGAAAAGTCAATACAACCTAGACCTGCACCTAGCAGCTACACTGACTCACAAGTCAAACAAGTTTAGCAGCTGGATGTAAAATAGCTTTATGTATTTGATGACAATGTACATATATAACTTCTTAATAGGACAAAGATTTGTTAATTAGGTTTCTTGTCACCTCCAGTTGTTAATTTTTACAGCTCCTGTGTTACACTGTGGTTAAGCCTAAATTGCACCACTCCAACCTGGATAGGCTGCCTCACACTATAATCCCCGCTGCTAAGCATCGATACCGCCTTTCCAGAAGTTTTCCCACAGCACTCACTGTTGTAAGCTGGCTCCTCACCCGACTGACGGCACTTCTGCAAAAAGCACAACAGACCCACGCGATGAGGAAGCGCATACGAAGGAGGGAGCACGCGACTTAAAGCGCACAAACTTATCGCGATTGAACATCAAAACCAAGGCTCAATCGGGACCACTCACAGTCGCACCCTTCCCCACACGCTTATTAGTCATTAACATCACATTCACAATGTCAACAAACCGTGGAGCCGGTTCAGTAAGGCTGAACACAAGTGGGAAAATTACATGTGAAAAGCTAAATGAGCCTCTCTGCTGCTTCCACATTAGTGTACTAGAAAACTTTGCATGACAAATATTCAATGTGTGTACAAGGTGATGATTTGGACCGCTACCATCCATGAGAGCAACATGGGCCTGAGCGACAAAAAGAAACGCACCTAAAAAAACAAAAATATTTTCTGAGAAAAATGCACAACCAAATAATCAGATCGTCAAAAATCGAATTTAGATGCACATTTTGTGATCCATAGCCTACTAGAGTCCTACACCAGTGTCTATTAAGACGGTAATTACAGACTGCTATCATTCACAGAGCTGAGGCACATGAGGTGAAGTGAGACTGCTTTTGTGCATGCATGGCAAGGCAGACAAAGAGTTTGTGTGTCAAGAACATCTGAATGAAATCCTTGTCAGTCCCTTGCATCGCTTAGCTGCTTGCTAAGCTGGATCAAAGGCAATGTCACAGTGTACGCACACATATCAGCTTTGCACTGTCCCTCTACACCGTCATGGACACTGTCACACTCCAGTCCCCACCGTCTCATGAAAACATGCCACACAGGGTCCGACGTGGTTCATTTGCCATTTCCCTCACACTCCAAGGGGATCTTCCTCATAGTAGAGTATAAGTAGTCTTGATTAGCATAAGCTCCAAGGATAGGTACTGTAACAGGGCCTATGGGACGTTTAGCCTCTTTTCAACTATCCCAAAATGGTCATTAAGCCCTCAATCACCCGGTGTGCACTGCAGCAGACTTCAAAATCGCCACGGTACGGTGCTCGCAGCCACATGCAGAATACGCGCAATGTAGATTAATGCACGCAAATGAGGAAATCAAAAGTTCTGCCAGGAAACTATTAGCCATGCGTGTTAGCAACATTTACTGAGGTTAGCGGAACAAGACGGCAGGTGTGCAAGTCAGTCGCACTAAAGCAAGCGCCAATGAAACGGCAGAGCCGGCCGACGACCCGGTCACCTACAGCAGCGGTGGAGAGAGAGAGCTGTGTAGAAGACAAGGATGCTGTGTGTCGGCGTCGCTCCATCGCTGCAGGGCATGTGAACGGAAAAACATTGAGCATGCTAACGCATCACGCAGATGTGCTGATCTCTGGAAAGAGGAAAAGGTAGAGCGCTTTTCAGTTTTACAGAGTATTGTGACCTTTTAGGAAAGTGTTTGCTCCGTGACCCCTAAACCCGAGCATGTGAGCTCTGTGTACCGTTACACCCCTATAGTAACATGCATAAAAAGATGCCAGTATAGAAATAGATTTTGCTACTTCTTTGTTAAAAATCATCAAACTACATCCACCAGGAGTAGAGTTCTGCTTCACGAAAACGTGGAGTGAAACAGGGTTCTCACCTGGACCATCAATGTGTTCTGAGGGCAGACACCAACCCAACCTTAGTTCACCGACGCTAACAAGCAGAGCAAACCTGCAAATAATCTAGCAGATGACAAACTACACCTTTCATTTGAGTCTTTTAACCAGATAACAACGCTGGTGGTTCATTTTAAAAAGGGACACGCTACAAACTCCTTTACCCGTCATGAGGAGTATTATTCAGCCACTAAAAACGGTTGCAAAATGACTAGGGATAGTGCAACGGATCCCTAAACTCACTGTTTGGATCGTTTCACGGTTTCAAGTTATGAAACTGATCAGCATAAACAAAAAGGGAGCACAAATTATTTTTCCGCTGATACAGATTGTCAACGAGCCACATTTGCCGATGCAGATCATTTTGTTATAGCAGCTAGTACACAAGCCTCCAGAGAATATGTTTTCGCCAACGTAGTTGGTTCAAATAACTGGATTTAATAAAGTTTCTATCATGATGACTTTGATCCTTTAAGTTTCCTTCGCTCAAAGGTGAGGTGCTGGTTGGTGCTGGCTGACTCAATCCATTAGACTGTGTAAATGCAGCTTCAGGAGCCTCCCAACCCAGTTTTCTTTTAAAGCAGGCACAGTGGCTACTCACAAAGAAGGTCAACTAGCAAAAAAATTCATACATCACAATCATTGCTGTTTCCAGAGGTAATTCCTTATAAATAGTCCGAGTATCAGTCTCAGAGTAACGAGGATCCACTTGAAGAAATCGTATGCACTAGACTGTAAGCAACAGGGCCCAGTCACTACTCACAATCCATTCTCCCCCTCTCACTAACCACTTTCAGCAGACAGAACCTTTTCACTGAGCAGAGCAGCACACAAACAAAAGCAGACAACGGGGATGGCACACTTTCCCCCGTATCCTCCAGCCGAGGCCTTTGAACCGGTGCACTTTTGCACAAAATGGCTGCCATGCGACTATACAGTCGGTTGACACACACACACACACATAATACATACACACACACACACACACACACACACACACACGACATTGTTCCAGACGGAGCAAGTTGGTGACCCATGCGGGATACAATTCAACCCCTTTACTCACCAAAAAGAGGCATTATGCAAATCGAGTGGGCAATAACAATTGCGGCGCACTTACATGGATTCTGTTGTAGGGAAATTGGAGGGTAAAGAAGTAGACAATTATAGCCCTCGACAATGAGGTTTTTTACTGACATTTTTCTAGTCTTTGCAAGTCTACTCATCTAAATAAGCTTACCTTGCTACCTGCTTGCCCACCACACACACAGAGCTATTTCCAGCTTTCTCTTTGTAGATGAGGAACCTGGACTAGTTTCCCAGGTATCCTCTCTCTCGCACGCACACGAGAAGTCTGGAAAATGAGTGTGGCGTGATTTACTCCCTGCAGATGACACTACAGTGTCAATGTCAGAGTCAATGAGTCAATGATCTGTGAGTGGGATAGTTTGTTTGACACGCCGCATGTTTGCTGGCGTGTTTGGTAGCAGCTTGGATCTCCAGGTGTTGGTTTTTCTTTTCGTCAAGTAAAACATCTGGCTTGGTCCTGTAAGCCGTTCCCTCTAACATGGTAATGAATGGGTCAAGGTGCTTGGAAGCAGGAAAAAAAAAAAAAAAAAACTCCAAACAACACATGCTTTAAATATCAGGACACACAGGCTGGCTATTTCCAACAGAGAAGCTGTACAGTCTGTTTTCTGTCTCATGGTGTGTGTGTGTGTGTGTGTGTGTGTGTGTGTGTGTGTGTGTGTGTGTATGTGTGTGTGAAATAGAAAGGGAAAGAGTGGCAATGAACTCACTATAACCCCCCGTTCGGGCAAGGGTTGCCCAAGCTGTGAGCTCATTTAAGCTGCGTAGTAAAGTGGCCCCAAGTGAACGGAGTCACAAGACAAAAAGTAGAGCCACGCTGTTCACAAACAAGCTCGTTTCTGTCATTGCAGCTGTACTACTGTCTAGGCCCCGCTGTGTAACTCACTGACAGCGACAGACTATGCGTTTAAAGGACGCCACACTACAGTAGACAGTATTCCAATAGTAAGTGACTCAAGTCAAACTTACCTTCAGTTGGAAAGGATGTATCTCGTTGAGCGAGTGTCTTCTTAGCTTCTTCGTCAGCGTCTTTAGCATTTTTTTCTTCCTCTGAGTAGCTTATGGCTTATCCCCTACAATTACGTGTTATTACTGTTACCGTGACGGCTACTACGACTTCATTAACATGAACGACGTGACACCTTTAAAAAAGAAGGCACACGGGACTATTACTTGACTGCAAACTGCCAACCTCAAAAAAAAAACAAAAAAAAAACAACGGCACGAGCAGCTGCAACACTCTAGCTCCAAGTTAGCTAGTGTCCAAAGAATGATACGCCGAAATTAGTTACACTGCGTGGATGTGGCTTGTTTTCAAAGGCTCCGCGAAGCAAACTTGTTATTTTCGAGTTCATTAGAGTCGCCGTTGTTGTGGAAAGTCTTTTTTTTCGCCCGTTCCTCAGGCGGCTCTGAAAGATGCCTCACTCACCGTAGCCCCGGCTTACTTCCGGAGCTTAATTCAAAGATGCTTGGGGACAAATAAAAAAATAAAAATAATATTAACTTGTTGGCATTCAGACACGCACGCACGCACACTCTCACACACATTCACACAACCAATGGCACGCCACCTGCACGAACAACACGGAGCTGCTCCTCCAGCTTGAGCGAGCCGCCCGCTGATTGGCTGCGCTGCCGAGTGACGACACATTTCTCCCCGGAGGAGGAGGGCTGAGAGTTAAAGCCACATTATCTTGTCTGTTTGCTTCATCTTTTCGTATCGGGATAATAATTAAAAATGCAATTAAAGCATGTCCGTCTTCAGCAGACAAAAATGTGTGTGATTTGATAAACCAGCCCATGCTTTTGATCAAGTGAATTGGCAGCCATTATAACTTTACTTTAACGAATGATAGCATCTGGATCATTGCTGTGTTGCGTTATGAAGTTCATTGTATTGAAGTTCATTTTAATCAACTTACTTTTTTTTTTTTTTTTACAACAGTCAACAGATGTAATGAATACCATTATATAGGCTATATTAATAACTGTATTATTATTATTGTTGTGTTTCCATTAGGTGGTATTGCTTTCCAATACTTTCCATAATTCCATACCTGGACACTTTAATGGAATGGAGCCATTGTTAATTAGTTTATTAGTTACACCTGTGCCTTTTCTCGAAGTCAAAAGACTTTCCACAGCATGAACTATTAGACTATATGCAATAAAAGCACACCGTCTATTGGTACTGTCTTTCTTTAGAAGGAATTACTTGTCAGACCATGCTTTTGACAAGGTGAAATGAGGTCATGTTATTCTATCTATTTACTTCCTCCTGGGATAAAGATATCAAACTATAATTTGTCCAGCGGTGGAAAAGTATTCAGATCCACACGACAGAAAATATCCAATCACAGGAAAAAAATCCTGCATTGAAAATATAATAGCATGTATTATTGATAAATGCACTTAAAGTAACAAAAATAACAGTGCTCGCACATACGTACATACAAGTGTATGTGTGAAATAAGCATTTTACTTTTAGATTTGGTTGAGGTGGGGAAAATGTTTTCATCAACGCATCACATTTTATCAACTCACATTTTATTAACTCCTAATTGTTAACTGTAGCTGTCAATTTAACCGTGGAGTCAAAAGTAAAATATTCCCTAAATTACAGTACAAGTATCAATTTGCATGGAATAGAAATACTCAAGTAAAGTACAAGTACTTTATATTTACACATGGTTACTTTCCACAGCTTCTATCCATCATGACAAGCTTGTAAACTGAACATTAAAAAATTGTAAGTCCAAATAATTGGACTGATCTTGCAGACTGACCAGAGGGACTTTTCTTATTCAAAACAAATTGTGTTGATTGACACTATTGTCTGACATGATTTATATCAGAGACACATTTTCCTTTTCAAGCTAACTCTCGTTCTCTTGCAGTTCCTTAAGTCTTTGAAGTGTATCGTCACCATAATGTAGTTCAAAGTTATTACACCAGTAAACGTATACATAAAGATTATTATTATACCTCAATGTTTCATTCTTTTTTTTATTGATAAGAATGAATATATTGGGGGTAGGGTCATTATCACATGTGTACATTTTAGGACCATCATGTCCATTCATCCTGGCCATCCTGGTGGCCAGCAACAACCAGACCCTCTCATGAAATGAGAGAGACACACAGATAGAGATAGAGAGACAGAGGGAGATGTGAAGAAGGAGAGCATGTCAGGTATAATTGGTGTAAGTGGGGCATCTAGTTTCAATGATGTCATTCTTTGCAGCCACTGTCTGGCTACTCTAAGATGTTGTATGCATGTCCTGCGCTGTAGGTGGTTGTCTCGGTTTTGATTTGGTTAAAAAAAATAACAATGCATGTCCAATAACTAAATTCTGCATTTCAGAATCAGAATCAGAACTTGTTTATTGTCAAGTGCGTTACACAAATATAAATTTGGCTTAGTGATTTGGTGCGTAACGGTGAAACACAGTTTAGTGAAACACAGAATAGTATGACATAATTTAAAATAGAAAATATGAAAAATTACAATAAAATATGGTAAACAAACAAATAGAAGTACAATAAAACAAGTATATTGTTAAAGTGTCATGTGTATATTAAAAGAGAAAAGATGTGCAAAAGCAAGACATTTCATCACAGATACACACTCTTCAACAACAATAATATTTCTTAATGGTTCAACTTATTGCTGTCAAATACGCAAGCCGGAATGCTATGCCTTTAAGAAGCTTCTGGCTCACTAGTTTGTGTGTGAGAAGCTTTCTCACTTAACACCTTTGGTCAATGACCTTTCCAGGGAACCTGTGGCTTGACTCCAGGTCGAGCTCAATGCAAATCCAATTTGTAGCTGAATATAGCAAAAATACAAACAACAAGTGTATACTAATACTGTTCAAAATAACCACAAAAGACAAAGTGCATCATGGTTATGATCATGTGTGGGTCCTTGACAAATTATAAAAGAGACTTTAGGCTCCTTGACTCATTCTGTGGGTTCTTGTCTTGATATATTTTCCCACAAGAGGGCAGCATTTGTTTTGTTCTTGTAGGGGGGAGGAATAAATGGATTACATTGGATGAAAAGATCCTAGACCTATTGAGTCACACATGAACAGCATTGTGTGGGTATTGTGGAGGTGGGTGGTTTAGTTGGAGTTCCTGTTACTATTATGGACCCATGGACTTTGAGTGATGGTCATGCTGAAGTAAACACTTTTAAGCATTAGAGTTTATTCTTTTAGAAATACTCCATGATTCAGAAAAATAAAATAACATTTTTATTGATACACTCCTGTTAGGGTCAAATTTGACCCTTTTTGACATTTGACAGCAGTAAGAATACCCTAAACGTCATTCTTTTAGCCTGAAATTTGATGACTTTTCCTAAAGTGACCCAAAATACACAAACATGTTATACTTTTGTACAGGTGCTACAAGTTTTTGTACACTGAGGCTGTTTCGGGTCAAATTTGACCCGTATCTATTGAGATGGATTTTAGATCTACCAGTGTGGGTCAAATCAAGGAAAATGGTGGTTTTAGAGAATCATAACATTATAAAGATACCTAAGCTGCCATTTCAGTGACTGACATCATGGCAGCAAGATTTAGTGTGCAACAGGCCCTTGATCTGTTCTTCCAAGATGAGGAGGGTGATAGTGATTTGGAGGATGTGTCGGAGCAGGAAGACAACGTGGAAGAAAGCTCTGATTACTGACTGATTGACTAGTTTATAATAAGCATTTTATTATGTAATGTTTTGTGTTCTAAGTGGTAAATGTTGAATTAATATTGATAATTATGATTTCTTATGATATAGCAGTGAGGACAGCGTTGAATGGTTGCAATGATTAAATATGGTTATATTATAAATTCCAACAGTTCCAGAATGTTCATGACATTTTCAAATTCAATACAATATATTTAAGTCATTATGGCTTTTATGTTTTTATGTCTTATGTAAAACAGGACATGATAATGTGTAATAAAGTTAATAACGTTTGGTATAGACACTTAGTATGAGGGAATTGTTGATCTGGGTCAATGGTGAAGGTATTAAATATAAACAATATGTTTATATGTTTAAGGGTTAAGCTTGTCACACTGTCAACAACTGCATGCTGTTCGTTAATTTCACATTGTGTAATTATTTGCCTAACAACTATTTAATTTAGAAATATGCAGCATTTTTTTGCATAATATCTCCTGATACATTTCAGGCAGTAAAACCTGATCTTGAGATAGAGACTTAAGTTTAGACATCCGGGGGCCTTTTATATTCTAGCTCATATCGGGCTGTAATGGTATGCAAGCCAAAACACACAACACATCACTGCAAATAGCAACAATGTATTGGGATCTGTTGAGTGACTGACTGAAGGTAAATGTTAATAGTCCGTTTTCAAACAGCGATTGTTCTGTCGATTTTTCACTGGACATTTCTTTGGACGTTTCCCACTGCCTGCCACAGCAAACACAGCTACAGCGCAAGCAGCAGTCTGGTTTGATCTCTGCTGGCAAGTCCCCGATACTGCACGGACCATGTGGAGTGTAGGTTTGAGCAGGTCCTACATGTTAAGAAGCGTTTGTAGAGAGGAGGGGCGTGATAGGTGTTTGTTCATTTTTCTGTGACATTTGAAAGAAAAAAAAAAGAAAAAAACATGTTAAACACTGGCACTGCATTACAGGGTGCTACGATCATCAAAGGTCATAGGTCAGAAATGTTTCTCTCATCCCCGGTCGAGGTTCAGTCATTTACCTTTTTGCCAAAGTTATTCCAAGTTATTCCATTGTGTATAAGAGGGGTAAGAGTTCATCACAAAAATTCATCATCGGCTCATCAGGGTTACTCATCATCTAATTATGAGGTTTGAATGGACAGTGTGTTATGACTCAGAGGGGAACAGTTCCACATTCACAGGTCAGACAGATCAGAGGAGAGAAGAGCTTGGGTGACACACTCTGATCAGCAGCAGGGTCCAGACACCACCTAAAGGTGATGCTGTGAGACAAGCATCCAGCCACTAGGCCCAGTATATTGTCCTGCTTACCAAACATGGCCCAACCTTAAATCCGGGAAACAGCGTTGGAGTCCTCTTGCCTTGATGATTGCACAATCAGAAGAATGCGGGGGCAAGAAAGTGATGTGAGCATGCACCAGTGATGTCAACACTTCTGCCTCTCCCTCGTCAGCCGTTGTTAACAATGCCGAAATAGCTGATGACAAATCAGCCGGCTGACCTTTGAGCGTCATTGTGTCTGTTTTTAGCAGTGCGCGCTGCAAAAACCGCGGCCCACTTGGCCTTGGAAGTCCTTGTCTTTCTCTTTCCTGCTGCCTGCGTCGCCCACACTCTCCCCTGGATAGCGGCATACGGCCACATGCCTCTCCTCTCGCCTCCACTCCCCTCCACTCTTCCCTCACCCACTGACCCACTGGCGGAAAGCGTGGGGGCCATCTGTGGTGGAGAGGTTACTTTTAGTCTCCCAGGCTGCTATTTTCTCCTCTCAGATTTATTTATTTATTGTTAAAACACAAAGCACAGGCTTACTTACTTCTCTCTCTCT